GGTTTTCAGACTCAGGATGAGTCGATGTGTGGGAGCATGTATTAATACATGCTGTGTGGTAGACTCAGGATGAGTCGATACAAGAGAGGATGCATCGACTCATGTTGTGAGTTCATTACAGTACGCGTTGATCCAAGGAGTTATGCATCGATCCATGTTGTCTGGTTTTTGGCAGAATCAGTTTGAGAATGTTGTAACTTGAGTTTTTGGACTCCGTTTGAGGTGTCGTTCGAAGCGTTGAATAGCTAACACGATGAGCTTTATTCTTGAGGATTAAAAATGAGGAGTAGGAAGGATAACCATAAGATTTGAATTAGTTTTCGTGTAGATCTCTATGTTGGTTTTTATGCAGAATGATGAAGATGAGATCCTTATTGGCTGTTGTTTGATTTGTAGCATTAGGATTAATAATAATAACGATGTAATATTACAGAATAGTAGTATGTAGAGGTTTGGTGATTTAGAAGTAAGCCTTAGTTGATTAACTAATTATAGGCAATGTCTTGTTGTAGGCCTATGGCCAACATTGTGAAAATGATGAGTACTGTCGTATTGCTGTATAGCTGAGTTGTTAATGAGATAATATTAATGAGAGTTTTTTTAATGAATTATGATGTATAAATGATGTTTGATGATTTATGATGATGTCGATGAATGATGTTGATGAAGATATGTTGAGATGCTTTTAAGATGTAGGCCTTTGGACAACAATGGTGTTGTATTGAGATGTTGTCAATTATGGTGTTGTTATTACATTCATGATTGTGTCGCATACATTGCATTTTTAGATGGAGCTTATTCTCGTTGAGATGGCCTGTATTGGCGAATATTGATATGAAGGCTTATGCCTTGTTGATGCCTTTATTAACTGGAAAAAATTTGAGATGGGAGTTCTGCTCCAATGGTACCACATGCATTTGCATAGTATTGAGTTGCATTATATGATTGCATAAAGAAGTGTGTTTTGATGCGGTGAATGTGTATTATTGTTGACTATGAGATGAGAAATAGTGATGATATGTGATCTAATTTAATATATTAATTATCATGCGCTTTATTATATTGTTAGATATCTCACCCTGTTGTACCCCAAAATTTGCCTTCTCATTTCATCAACATTTTTCACCACAAGACTCTTGGAACTCAAGATCAAGCTAGGGTTTCCTCTGCTCAAGACACCTCCTTGCACTGTTGACCTAAATTAGGATTTGAGTTTGCACAGTGATGTTTTGACCTACAATGCCCAAATTGACTTTCATACTTCATATTGGACTCACAAGTTTGTCCATACCAAGTTTCAAGCCTTGATCCAAATTTTTGCCCAGTCAATTGGACAGTTGACCTAGAAATTAGCTGTATTGGGGGAAACGTCAACTGTGGCCAATTGACAGTCAAACCTCATGAAATTTGATTCACATCAACATTATGAACTCATATGAACCATTTGATCAAGTTTGGATCACAATTCCACAAGAAATTTGATCAGATCACCAAAAGGGCAAAATGGTCATTTTTAGGGTTTTGACTATACAAAGGCAATTTTTGATTGTTTGACCTAGCCAATGGCAAATCAAGCTCAACCATGGACTCAAGGACTCAATAACATTGTCTTGACCCATTCAACAAGTTCAAAAGATCTCAAATGCATAGGATTGACAGATGAATTTTTCAGTCAACTGATCAAAATTTGACTGTATACTGAAAAGTCAAACTTTGACTTTTTGGTCAAAATCAAGTGCCAAGGGTCATTTTTCATCAAGACATGTCAAATTATGAAACTTGTTCATCAAGAAACCCAAAAGTGCAAATTAGGGTTTAAAATGGAAAAAATTCATAACTTAGAATTTTTCTAAGTTATAAAATTTTCTTATTTTTTCCTAACTTTGTCCTATTTTTTCACCAAGATGCAAATGGATTCAAACAAAACTTGAAACATGAAAGTTGTGGTCCATCACAAAGACTACAACTTTTAATCACAAAGTTTTCTCAAAAGAATCTTGTATCTCAAGTTATGATTTTTGGAACAAGGGTACCTAAAACTTTTAACTTAGAAAATTTTTGCCCTAGTTTAGGCAGGATTTTGACCCATCTTCTTGGACATTTTTCACATAGTTCCACTTGGATTTTCAAGTTTCATTTCAAATATGGATTGTAGTACATGTTGCAAGCTTTCCAAATTGTCCAAGAACTCCTCAAACACCTTTGTGGTTAGGGAGAATCAAATGCTTGAAGTTGGCAAAAACTCACTTTGATCCATGGTCAATACATGTTCATACCACTTGCCAAATCTGATCTAGCTAGCTTGGTTCACAATTACAGGACTCTAAACAAGTTTGTACTCCATAATTTAATGCATATCCATTGAGCCAAGGCATTGTCTTGGTCATTAGGGTATTATACACTAGATTAAGCCTTAAATGGAAAAAGTAACAATGCCATTTTTGCTTGAACTTTGCTTTATGTCAAAACAACATCCTAGAGCATTGAACCAGATCTTATGCTACAAAAAAAATCCATTAATTAGAGGGTCCAAGAGGGTTGTGTGCAGGGTGATAGGATAGCCTGTACAAGTCTATAACCTCACTTCCACTCTTTTGCTTAAAGAAGAAGAAAACTTGCAAAACAAGAGGCATCTCTCACATCTGATAAAACCAACTAAAACAAAGTTGTCAAACAGTTTTCATACACCCTAACAAGCCAGAAACACGAGTCCTGGACCTCTCAAAACTCCTTGTGCACAAATTCCCCATTTTCTTGCAAAACAGGGCCAGTTCTGCATTTTGCAAGCCATCATCAAATTCCATCGTGCGTTTTTCCCAAAGATACCTCAAACACCTTCCAACCAACACACCTGAACTATTCCAGACCTCCATTGCTAGTTGTAACACCATTAACACACATTGCCATTTTTGTTTCAAAGCTTTGCAGGTTGAGTTTTGTAGCACGATTCAAGCTACTTCGAAACAAAGTAAGCATTGGGAAAGCTTTATTAGACATCAGGCAAGCTCAAAAGAACCTCAAGCACCCTTGGAAGTTGCTGCATTGTCCAACTCGAAGTCAACTGAAACAGGTATTTCATGAACTTTTATCTCTCTATTTAGGAATAGTTAGACTTAGGTTTGTGAATGAAAGATGTTGTATTCATAGCCCTGAAACCATACATGTGCTTAATTTTCATTTATATTAATCGTGCTAGGAGAATTTTGTTCATGAACTCTCCGGAAAAACTAGGTTAAGAATTAGGGCCAGAGAAATTCTCTCTGGTCTTTGAGAGTTAGCTTGAGTTTTTTATATGGTTAGATTCGTTGTTTGATGCTCTACAAGTTTCATGTTATGAGTTTTGTCAAAAAAGCAAGGAATCAGGAGATAGCATTTGATGTACAGAACGCGCGTATTTTGAACTGAGGAAGAAGATGAAGTTGATTCTGGGCTGGGCCTGGACTTCTTTGCTTTTGACACCCCCGGTTCACTTTCAGCACCCCTTGGCCCATTGCTTTGTATTTTCATTATTTTTGCATTTTTATTTTTTTTCTCTGACTTTGATATTTTATTTGCAAACATAAAAAATATCCCAAAAATATTTTCATATTTTTTTTCATTTATTAGGTATTTTATTCTAATTTTTCCTAATGTAAACATATTAAATATCTTATTTTCTTTTGTTAAAACTTAAAAATAATACAAATAATACTTAAATAATTTATTTTATTTTTATATACATATTTGAAAATATTTTCTTGAAATATATACATTTTGTAAATAATTTATTTTATTTTGTACACACTTAAAATATTTAATACATATATGTACATATATAATATATTTTATTAAATAATAAGAACCAAAAAACACAAAAAAATAAAAATAAAAATATTTTTATTAATATTTTATACTAAAAATACTTTTTTTTAATATACTTATATTTTTGTACAATTTAATACATTATTGTATATAAATAAGAAATAATACTACTTATCTAAGAAATTAGGGTTTTTGCCCTAAAAAACAAAAATAATTGAAATTGTCTTTTTTTTATTATTTACACTTCATATTTAAAAATACTTTTTACATACATAAAAATCTTTTTTTGCATAACACATTTTATCTAACATTTATTTATTGTATTTTATTTATTTGTTGTACATTTAAATATTGTATCTTATGCATTCAATTTAGTTGTAATAATTTAGGATTTAATTTCTTGCAAAATAATCCCCATTTCAAATTTGTACCCCCTCCCTATATCATGTTGTAATAGTGTAGAATTTAAATTCTCGCACCTTTAAATGCTTTCAATTATGCCATGATTAGACCTAGGGTTTGTATGCAGAATAAAATCAACAACTAGTTTGACCTAATCCAAGATGATAATGCATGAAAATAAACACAATGCATACTTGTACCCCTAGGGCACTACGCCAAAAACGAGTTTTGGCACCGCTACATAGACAGCGCTTATGCAAAAGCGCTACTGTAGGTATCTAAAAAAAATAAAAAAAAACTTTAGACAGCGCTTACTAAAAGCGCTGCTATAGGCCTTATCAAATGCAGCGCTTTTTCTCCCTAAGCGCTGCTATAGGGTTTTAAAAAAAATTAAAATTAAAAAATTAATAAAAGCGCTACTAAAGGGTATGCTTTAGACAGCGCTTTCAAACTGTTAAAGGTGTAAGTCTAAAAGCGCTGCTAAAGGGGGGTAAACCTAAAGCGCTGCTAAATGGGGTACCTTTAGCAGCGCTTCTTAAAAGCGCTGCCTTTGTGTAAATCTAAAAGCGCTGCTAAAGGGGGGGTAAGCCTAAAGCGCTGCTAAAGGGGGGTACCTTTAGCAGCGCTTCTTGAAAGCGCTGCCTTTGGTTTGTTAATTTATTTCTAAACCCCTAACCCCTAAATCAGATTTCCAGAAACACAAATCGTTGTTCATCTTCTTCTCCATTCGTCATCTCCATTACTCCCTTTGTTCCGTCATCTCTCAAACCCTCCTCGCAACCGCTTCATCTTCATCATTACCAACCACCACCATCAATTGTCAACCGTCTCCATCCTTCATCCCTTCGTCGTCCTCTAACCATTACCCTCCGCCTCGCATCAACGGCACAATCACCAACACCAGCAGCCTCCTCCGTTGCATCACCTTCGAATCTTCGGCCCACGGCTAATTCATTTTTTCAATCCAAGTAAGTGTTCTTCTTCTCCTCAGAGGTTTGAAATTATCTTCTTCATCAATAACGTCGCTGTAAGATGATGTTTGTTTGTTAGAATTGTTGTCTGTAAGATGTTTGTTTGTTTGTAAGATGTAGTTCCAACAAGACGAGTGTGAAGTGTGGAGTTTCCAACTTCAATAAGTTTGGTCAAGCCAAAATCTGCAACCTGAGTTTAAGCCACTCATAGTTTAATTAATCTTAACAAATAAAGAAAATTTTGAAAAGAAGATCGTTTAGATTGGTTATAATGCTACCTTTCCCCACAAGTTTTTGTCTACCAATATGTTTGCTGATTTTACATCGCGATGGATATAAACTGGCACAGTGTGTTCATGAATGTATTCAAGGCCTCTTGCAGAATCTAGAGCAATTTGGACTCTACTAGACCATGGTAATGGCTCTTTACCTGGAATGATGTCACTGTCATTGATAACTGTTTGACAATATTGTAATATTACAGAAAAATATAAGCACTTTTCTTGCTGATCTTACCTAAACCATGCAAATATTGACCCAAGTTTCCATTGTCAATATGTTCGTATACAAGGAAAAGCGATCCCTCAACACAATATCCAATCAACCTCACCTATGTTGTTCATAAAAATTTAGGTAAATTCAGAACATGGTTCATAACATAAATTTAACCTGTTTATGCAAAAAGCTTAACAAAGATTTTAACAATGAAAAACATTGAATTAAGTAGTTTGAAGGATGTTATACCAGATTCAAATGATGAACATGTGTTAAGACCTTTAACTCACAAAGAAATTTTGTTGATGCTTGTACATTCATTTTCTTAATTGCTGTTTTCTGCATAGAATAATTTGAATAAGAGGATAAGATATCAAACACTAACAAAAAATAAAAATTAGTCACTGCAGTTTCATACCTCGCCTCGGAGTTCGGCATAATAGACAGCTCTGAATCCACCTTGACCAATTTTATTATCCAAACTAAAGTTATTTGTAGCCTTAGCTAGTTCTTGATATGAAAACTCTGTTGACTTTGCCACCATAATTCTTGTAAGCCCAGCAGCACTACCAGTACCATACCCACTAGATCCTGAAGTTTCATATTCTCCATTACCCGAGGCTTCACCAAGAACAGAAAGTTGTTTTCACAAGTTATCGCAGAAAACTTATTGAAATAAATAAATACTAACTTTTAACAGTATCATAAGTTACTTTCACAAAAACTATCATTACCATCTTGAGTTGAAAGCACCTTAGAAATTTGGGGCAGTATAGTTTTCTCTTCTTCCTTTTTCTGGAAGTATTGTTGAGAAACTTTGCATAGATATCATTATGAGTGTAATTAGATAGAACAACAGTTGGTTCATATGAGTATTCACAATATCACCCCATAATAGCCTTCTATTTTCCAAATCATTACTAGCATAGATAGCAGTTAACCAGAAGTTTTGATTCTACAAAGAGAATAAGTTTAAACAGCTTCAACTTACCAATCTTAACCCTCATTCTGATTCACCTTAATATTCAGAGGTAAATTACCTTTCTCTTGCAGCTGCTGCTGCAAAGTATTTACTAAACCAGTTTCATCTTGTGTTTGACCCGTTAAAGGTAGATTAAGCACGGTTATATTCCGATGACCCTGATAGAAATTCGGCAAAGACCCTTCACATAATTCTGTTTCTTTATATAAAGCACTTATATTTCTTCCACTTACATAATATATTCCAATCTTCTTGTTTGGATTTCTAGCAGTTACTGTTACATCGAAGGTAACAAAAAGATTGTTATTATCAGACAGATTGAACTGTGTTATTCTCAATCTGTCTACTGAGTATTTAGGAAGCTTTGGCCTAAAAACAAGGTAGAGTGTTCCAATGGTGATGGATATTGCAATAATAAGAACCAATGACTTTGGAATAGCTTGAGCAATAGATTTTATAAGAGTTACTATGCCAGCATAGGATAGAGTCTTTTCCTTCCAACTTTGGAGTTTATCTCTGATTCTGTCCACTATGTACCCAAAACTTTGATTTCTAGACTTGTTGATCTGAGTAGGGAGACCCAGACAATGTTGAATTGGATCAGACAATAGGAATGTTAAGAATATTCTGGAAACTTTCCAGAGTTGAATTGTATTTCAGATTTGTTATAATTAATTTTTTGTCATGAGGTGTCTTGATACTTCTGAAAGATTTTGCTTAGATTTCTAGCTTCTTTTGTTGTGTCCTGGCAAAAAATCAGACTGTCATCCGCAAAGAGGAGATGTGTGATGTTAGGAGCTGTTTTTGCATCTTTAATTCCAGTAATAAGGTGACTAGTCTGAGCATGTTTCATAAGAGTAGAAAATATGTCAGCACTATGAACGTGCAAATGGTCAAGTGCTCAGACCAAATGATACATTGTGGTGTCTACGATATACATGGTACCTAACTTTACTTGATGACTGCAATTTATTGCCATAATCAAATTGAAAACAGAAAGCGATTGTGGAACAACTTGGTGAATATCTATAGGCAACAACAAGGATCTTGGATGTTGTTAGGCGATTTCAACAATGTTCTGAAGTGCACAGACAGAATAGGTGGAAGACAAATCAAGGAAGCAGAATACAAGGATTTGCAAGGGTTTATGGAGAAGGCAGGACTATATGAAATGGACAGCAGGGGTGAAAACTTCACTTGACCAAATAATCAAAGTGGATATCCCATCTATTCAAGGATAGATCACCTAATTGGTAATATAGAATGGCTTCAAGACCATATGAATTATACTCTTGAAGTGATGAAGCCTAGTGTGTCGGACCATGCATTACTATGTTCGAAGCAAATTATGAATGACAGGCGAAGGAGGAAGAACACCTTTAAGTTTACAAATTGTGTTGCAGACATGGACCACTTCATGTCGAAAGTGAATCTCAGCTTGAGGGAGCCTCTTGCAGGGCGACCAATGGTTGTAGTTTAGAGAAAACAAAAAAGGCTACAACCTATCCTAAGGGAAATGTCCAAGCCTCTTGCGTATATAAACAAGAAAATAGATCAGGAAAGAATGGAATTAAAGCAGGCTCAAGAGGAACGTATAAATGCTAGGATGAATCCTGTGAAAATCAATATGGATAGAAAGTGTAGTGATGCCTTAATTGGTTAGCAGGAAGTAGAAGAGAAAGTGTTGATGCAGAGATCCAAGTTGAATTGGCTGCAACTGGGGGATGGAAATAATAAGTATTTCCATGCTTCAATTAAATCCAGACGAAATTACAATAGTACTTTGGCCCTACAAAAGGAAGATGGAATTGTCACACATAGTGAAGCTGAGACTGTAGATGAAATCATGCAATTCTATAGGAAATTGGTGGGAACTGCAGAGGTTGAAAGAAACAAAATTGATATATCTATGATGAGGGGTGGTCCTCAACTGAATAATGAGCAAAGAGAGATGTTAACCAGCCCCATTCCTGAGAAAGAGGCCGTTGATGCTTTGCAAAGCATGGATAATACAAAAGCCCCCAGAATATATGGATATGGATATGGAGATAGGGGAAAGCTTTTCTGTTTTCGTTTCTTTTGAACAACTCCTTGAAGTAGTTAACAAAAGTATCATGAATATCTTCCTTTTTATAGGTTAGATCCCCACTAATATTGAGGATAGAATTAATTTTGTTCTGATTGTTCTGTTGAGTGGCCTTGATGTGGAAAATTTTGGTATTTCTATCTCCCTCCTTTAACTAGTACATTTTAGCTCTCTGAGCCCACCATATCTCCTCCTGATGCAGCAGGGTGTCCAATCTATTTTGGAGATCTCCGATACTATTAAAGTTTTGATTATTGGCATTGCTTCTATAGCAGAGACAATCCCATCTCTCTTCAGGCAGTTTTTGGTACCAATGACGCATTTAATGACCATGGCAAAGGGAGGGTTATTAGCTATGTGTTTCTTAGTGTTAATATGTAATGGTATATTCTTTTCATTTGTCCTTCTGGTGTAATTGATAATCTGTCAACGTGTTGTTGCATATCTTATACTAATATTTTAATAACAACAATTATTTTTGCTGGCCTGGAAGACAATTGTGTGGTCTGGAGAGCGTATTACAGTGGTGGTCAATTATGTATTGGATTTTTCGCATGATCTTGAGTCTGAAGTAAACTGGTTTTCAATTCTATTTTTATCTATGATTTACAGGTCGTTGTCTCCCGCCTTTGCATCAGATTCGTCATTGGAGTCAATCGGTGCACCATCTCAGATAGGGCTGTTAATTGTTGGCGGTAATTTGGTGTTGATTCATTTTAATTTAAAGCATTTCTGTTAGCTTCTTATGTCAAGTCTGTTTTGTTCTCTTTAATGACAGTGGGGTGCTTCAAAATTCTGTGTTGAAACCATAAGGTATCATGTTTCTCTCTGGTAAGTTTTTTATGGTTTATCTATTTATTGTTCTCATCTTTGTCTTGCTTTGACAATGAAACTCTTGTGAAACACAAATTCAACTACAGTGGCAAAGACTTCATTTATTTAGGTTTTCATTTCACTTAAGTGAAACTCTTGGTCACTTATTGACTTATCAACGCAAAGTGTCGATGTTATCATGGTAATGGTATGGCAGGGAAATCAACATCAGTAAAACTTGCCTAAGACATTGACACTGCTGTTAAGAAATTACGTATATGTTTTTAATTTAATTTTTTATTTTATGATAGAGAAACCTTATAACAAGGCATGCATGGGGAAAAAACAAATTTTGGTCAATTATGAAGCAAATTTTCATGCGTATTATTAGAGTTAGGAACTTGAGAATCTCAAGATAATACACACACTCCAAATTTGATATTTTATATTTTTAACTATTATAATTATTATCAATGTATCATTCTTCTATACATGTGTACTTGCTACAACTTGATGTAAGCTCTTTTGTTTATACAATGATCATAAGGTTGTGATTTTACTTGTTAGCAGCACTCCTTGGTTTCATTTATATCATACACAAATTTATTATTTTTACTTCTATATTCTTCCCATATCCGTGTTGCAATGCTGACGTATATAATTCTGAATTGCCAGACTCATCCTACACAATCTTGTTTCATGTCATCAATTGATGTTCACACCCATTACTCATATCAGGTGAGTTCATGTCATCAACTGACGTATACTCTAAGATTTAATTTTACTAGATGGTTATTTTAGCTTAAGCAATGTGTCCACGATTAATAGTTTTGGTCTTGTTTGTTTTAAATTGACGATAATGAATTTCCTGCACTTCCACCGGTTAATCTTTGATGTATTGTTTTTACAATGAATGATACAGGAAATCAAGATGTTAGAATAGTGCATCACCAGAATTTGAATAAGAGAATTCTACTAGCATTGATTGCTTCTTCTGCTCTTGCTGGAATCTTCATCTTCTTATTGTTTCTCTTCTTACGGCGAAATAGAAAATTAACAATCTCCGCGAGTAAAAGCCGAGGAACCTTAGGTATTATGGCTTCTATTCTCTCTTTTGAAACTTTTATTTTGATTTTTTTTAAATCTAAGATATATTATGGACTAGTCAAAATACTTGTAATGGGTTTAATAATCTTAGATTTCTCAATGATGGGAGAAGAATAAGATAGTGGAGGATTGAGTTTGTACATAGCAGAGACAAACCGAGTCATAACAAAGCATAACTAGGAGATGTTGGAGTTACCATTCAACATGACACTTAATTTCCCTACATTGTTTCTTTTCTGTTTCTCATAATGTATGCTTAGCTCATGTAGACATGCCTGCAAGGAACAAAGGAATCACATCATGTAAATCCCCTATCTAATATTCAACTTAGTAATATTAAAAAATAACACAAATCATGAATCTAAGAATGAGTTCACAACTAAGCTAATGTGTCTAAATCAGTAACGTTGACGATCATTGATTGAATATGTTATAGGACCACAACAATCCTCATTTCTAAAATTGTTCTAATCACATGTTTGATTTTTGTTGACAACACAAAGTCTTTAACTTAGATAATAGTTAAAACCATGGATAAAAAATGGATGTGTGCCGATCGATTGTCAAAAGAGTACGAGGATGGGGTATTAGAGTTCGTTAAGTTTGCTATTGAACACGCTGAAGACCCGAATAGAATGAAATGTCCTTGCTTGGGTTGTTATTATGTGGGTCGGGTTGACGCAGATGGATTGAAATCGCATTTACTAATGCGCGGAATTGATCGAAGTTATACGTGTTGGATATTTCATGGTCAGAAAAGCATCGAGAATGTTGAACCGGGGGTGAAAAGTAATGCGACCTATGTTTCGTACGACAATGCCACGGATACATATGATTGTGATCGGGTGGAAGAGATTGCAGAAGCACTTGAAGAAGATCTTCAAGATTGTCCCAAAATGTTTGAGAGGTTGGTAAGCGATGCGGAGAAACCGTTGTATAAAGATTGCCCCAAATTCACAAGATTGTTTGCGGTATTAAAATTGTACAACTTAAAGGCGCGCAATGGATGGTCAGATAAAAGTTTCACACAGTTATTAGCCCTTTTGAGAGATATGCTTCCTGAGGATAATGTTCTTCCTAATCGAACCTACGAGGCCAAAAAAATGTTGTGCTCTATTGGCATGAGCTATGATAAGATACATGCATGTCTAAATGATTGTATTTTGTTTCGAAACGAATATGCATCATTGAATGAGTGCCCAAAGTGCGGTTTATCTCGATATAAGAAAAAATTATCTCCAGCGAAAGTCTTATGGTATTTTCCTATTATTCCGAGATTTAGACGCATGTTTCGTAGTGAAACCGATGCTAGACACTTGACTTGGCATGCAGATGAAAGAATTATCGATGGAAAGTTTCGACATCCGGCAGATGCACCATAGTGGAAGAAAATTGATAATGATTATCCTGATTTTGGAGGAGAAACAAGAAACCTTCGCTTGGCATTATCTACGGATGGAATGAACCCGCATGGTCTTCAAAGTATCTCACGTTCCACATGGCCTGTAATTCTTATGATTTATAACCTACCTCCATGGCTATGTATGAAGCGCAAGTACATGATGTTATCTATGTTAATTTCTGGGCCTAAACAACCAGGGAATGACATAGATGTATACTTGAAACCTTTAATCGAAGATTTGAAGATTTTGTGGGAGAACGGTGTGGAGGTTTATGATGGATATAGAAAAGAAAGTTTCAATTTGAGTGCGATGTTGTTTGGCACAATTAACGATTTTCCAGCATATGGAAATCTATCCGGGTATAGCATTAAAGGTGAAAAAGCGTGTCTTGTCTGTGAAGATGGAACCGATACGACACGATTGAAACTTTGTCAAAAGAACGTCTTTCTCGGTCATCGTAGATTCTTAAATTCAAAACATCAATATCGTGGATGGAGAAAAGCGTTCAATGGAAATACCGAACAACGTAGAGCTCCAACTGGATTGACGGGTGATCAAATTTGTGAAAAGGTGAAAGATGTGAGTATTCAGTTTGGCAAGCCTTTTGCACATAAAGTTGTCACAGGTGGGTGGAAGAAGAGGTCAATTTTTTTTGAATTGCCATATTGGAAATCTTTGTACGTAAGACATTTTCTTGATGTTATGCATATTGAAAAAAAATGTATTTGAAAGTGTTATTGGTACGTTAATCAATATAAAAGGAAAGTCTAAGGATGGCCTTAAAGCAAGAGAGGACATGGTAGAGATGGGAATAAGAACTGAATTAGGACCCGCGAAGAAAGGAAGACGAACATATCTACCACCTGCTTCTTATACTCTATCTAGAAAGGAAAAGAAAATATTGTGTAAGTTTCTGAGTGAAGTTAAAGTTCCAGAAGGTTACTCCTCAGATATTATAAGACTCGTGTCCATGAAAGACCTCAAGTTAAAGAGTCTGAAGACACATGATT